TCTCAAGTATTGAATTCTCAAAGAACAAAGTAATCTTTAAAACATGGGACAGATATATAGCCCTTTGGCTACATGTTGATCTGAATTCATAATTTTCGACAGAGTATAGATACATATATGTAAAAACCTATTAAAACACCAAGTGATATTAGATCTGAATCTATAATTTTAACAGTACACTGAATACAATGCATCTTAAAAAATTGAACCTATCAAATTTAAATTCTGAATCCTCCTCTAGCAATAGCTGCTGCTAGTGAAAGTCAGACTGCTATGTTTTCTTGCTGTTAAAATTACTTTGTCAAACCTGAAACACAGCTAATAAATGGATTGACTTTGACTTTGCACAATGGATCTTTTTAGAGACACATCTATTTAAAATAGTAGACTTTGGTGTATGTATATATCTGTCAGTTTATTGCTTGAGATGGAGGATGTATTCAATAACTTATCTTGGTATAAACGACTGAATTCAAAGCTAGCAATGCTAATATTGACTTTTTAAAGAAAAATCTAATTGTAAGAGTGCAACACGTGATGTTTGGGTAGACGCATGTCACTGCTTTAACACCTCCCATAAATAGAATCCTGGTGTTTAAGTGAAGAAGGGTAGAAAGACCAACCCATCAATGTAGAGTTAAACATGTTCTATTGGCCCTGGGGATTTCTCAGTTATTAAAAATATTGTAACAGAAAGGACATTCATTACAATAAAAGAGATATTTAGTGGCGATAGAGTCTCTTGCCGCAATTTTTTTAGCAACAACTGAATGTCATTGTATCCAGTGTCGCTAAAGCCTTTAACGATATTTATATAGAGTGTTGGTTATAAATATCATGTTTATTATTGCTGCTAACTATAATATAGCGGCAATTATATTATTGCCACAAATCCTTTTGTTTGTTATAGTGATTGGTAGTTATGACTAATTGAATGGTTCAACAGTGTCCTTTTCAGAATGAGAAGGGGTAAGAAAGAAGGAATTGCTTGCTTTTCTCCTCTATTTTTCTAGTACAGAGTTCTACAACAACAACACATCCAATGTAATCCTACAAGCGGGGTCTGTGAAAGATAGAGTATATGCATATCTTATTCCTACCTCGTGAAGGTAGAGAGACTATTTTCAAAAACAGTTATACCATTAAGTCAAATTCATCAAGAGCTTTAAATGCCTTTATGATAGCCACAAGCTTCTCTTGATCCCCCTTCCCCCTCTTATCTCTTTAATATGGAGGTCAACATATGACCTTGTCAACAACTTGCTAATAAATATATGTAGATTGTAACTATATCACACTAAACACTTTGGAACCAAGGCAGCTTTTACAATACAATAACATATCCAGTGTAGTTTCACAGATGAGGTCTCGGGAGTATAGAGCGTACGGATCTTAATTTTACCTCGTAGAGATAGGCAGGTTGTTTCCGAAAGACTCTTAGCTTTAAAGTAAGTTTTGTAGTTGTAAAACCATAACAAACTACCAATGAATTCTCCCCAAAACTAAAGTTTAACACTCACAAAAACAGAACAATGAAATAAAACCAACGAATTTTCTTGATCTAACATGTTCAATACTTGACTATAATTAAAACAACAAATATACTCTTAAAAAATGATAGTAGTACAATATGTGGGGACAAATGTAGCCTTTTTGACTACAGAATAATCTGAATCCATAACTTTCGACATGGAGTATAGAAATGCATCAAGAAACACTAGATCTGAACCCATAAGCTTACACTACAATGATATACAACGCTTAGAATCTAAAAAATTGAACATATCAAATTTAAATCCTGAATCCGCCTCTGACAACTGGAGAGTGATATCAGGGTGTTGTGGTTGCTTCTTTGATCTTCTTAATCGTCTTAACATCTGTCTTAAATGACTTAGCAAGTACCAATTCACTAATTCCACTATTAAAAATTGATGATGGCAATGTAACAGTTCCAGGACTAGCACCACCAAGAGCAGCTACACCAACTGCTTTTCTCTTATAATCAAAATTATACTGATAATGTTGTAATCCTTTAGGAAACAAAAAAATATCCCCTGTTTTTAGCCTCTGAGTATACAGAACACCCTTCGTATCGACAAAAC